AGAAATAAATAATAGATATATAAATTTAATATGTTTTAAAATAGTTTAATCTTTCGGATTAATTACGCTCATAGCCAAAAAAAGTTAGCAACTCAAGTCTCGTTCATAAACCAAGTTTGATAAAACAATGAATTCATCGTGAACATGAAGAGACATATTGAAGGTACAAGTATAAATTGTTGGGAAATAAAACGGATTGAAATAATATATGACATGATTTAAAGTATTTGATCACAAATAAATAACAAGATAAAAGAAAAAAAATTAATTGGTCGAGTAATGGAGTATTTTATTCAATTAACAAAAAATAAATATAATAACTGTGCATACACAATTATTCTATATTTCAATAATGCAAAACTTGTTAAAACAGTCTAAAGGGATGCATGCCAAATCATAAAAACGCCACAAAGATGGAACTAATATAAAAAATAATGTGGAATAAATGAGACAATATATTTTTCCAATAAAAACGCATTAACAAAGGAAAAAATATTTTCCTCACAAAATCCAATCTAATTAGGTAAAATTTTTTTAACAATTTCTACTTTGATACAAATTTCGATGCAACAAACGAAACCTCGAGATTTTTCCACTGGAAAAAATAAATCCAACTGCAACGAAAATTTCCAACTCTTCAATAAGAACCAAATTTTCCCCAACACAAAAACACTCCTCCTCCTCCACAATAACCAATACAGATATATGAACTCAAACACTGGGTTCCACAAAATTCACAAAGAATTAAAATTACTAAATAGTGTCGAAGCACATCCTGCAGCAAAATCAACTTATAATGTTTTCTTAATGGTGGCAAGGCGAAATTAACTATATCCCCCAAACTCGACTAAGTAGTATTCTTCAATATGAAACCTGAACTAAATCCTAAAGATACATTATCAAACTGAATCTTCGACGCGGTACTAAATCTATGCTAATTTTTATTCACAAATTCTGTCCAATCTTTCAAGATGTATAATTGGGACCTCTTTCATCCCCCAATACAACACGATCACCATTCTGACTCTCAACACTTCACCTCCTTCAGAGAACGCGTACCTTTTTGAATCAAGAGTACTTAACAAAATGAGTTTTTTCTTCAAGTTTGAAATATATCGAATGCGATCAAGTGTTCTACATGTTCCATCTACCAGTTTCAATATGATTTTACCAATACCAGTTACTTGACAAGGTTCATTGTTATTCATGACAACAACATCTTGCATTACTATTTCATATATTTCAAACAAATTTTGATTGGAACACATATGAAATGCACAAGTTGTATCCAAATTCCACTCCTCGTCAAGTTTGGATTCCATGTCAGAATTCGTCAAACATCTCCATCACTCAAATAGTTCTTGGCTATATTGGTCTCGTCTGAAGTATTTGACTGCTTCTCATTATTTGCATTCAAATTACTTTTGTTCTGCAATTTGTCGCAATCCCTTTTAATGTGTTATTTTTTCTTGTAATAATAATAAACCTGATTATTGAAATTTGACTTTAACTTACCCTTCCTTGATCACCATGAACAATAAGGCCCTTTCCATCTATGGCCTCAAATCCAACTAGATGCTTTATCTTTTTTATTATTTTTATTATTTTTTCTAAATAGTGCATCAAACGCATTTTCAATTGTGAGAGTATTACGACTATATAAGTTCGTGTCTCTAAACGAAGTAAACAAAGTGGATAGCTAACACAAAATGATTAAGGTCAAATCTTTTTCATCATACTTTACCTTTAAAGTTTCCAAATCAACGACAATATCCTTGAACGAAGCCAAATGATATTTCAGAGATCCACCTTCTACCATGCGATGAGAATACAACCTTTGCTTCAAATGCAATTTGCTTGTCAGACTTTTAGTCATACATAATTGTTTCAACTCCAACCACAATGTAGTTGCCATTTTCTCATTCAAAATGTCCTGAAGAATATTGTTCCAAGGATGAAGATGGATATGTGAAAATGCCTTCCGATCCTTTTATTATTTCTCCTCCGTTGTCCAAGTTGTGGGCATTTTGTCAAATTCCAACAACGCATTATCCAAATCCATTAGCACAAGTACAACTCGCTTCTTCACTTGCCACAACGAGAATCTTGTATTGCGATCCAAGAGTAGAATTTCATATTTCATGACCTAACCAATCACAACCAATAACTCTGATATCACTTGTAAGGAAATAAAACGGATCGAAATAATATATAACACAATATAAAGTATATGATCACAAATAAACGACAAGATAAAAGGCAAATAATTAATTGGTAGATGAACAGGGTATTTTATTCAATTGATGAATATGGAGAAAATAAATACAATAACTTTGCTTATACAATTATTCTATGCCCTTGTTTGAGCCACATTATTTTCATAGAAATGCATTTTTGAAAGTGTAATGATGAGAAATGTGTGATTAAAAATTAACGATTTTTTTTAATTTAAGCGTAACATTATTTTATTAAATAACGTGTGATTAAAAAGATGTCAAATCATTATTTAAAAATGTATTTTTTTTCAAATAATGTGGATCAAACATGACCTATATTTCAATAATGTAAAACTTGTGAAAATGAGTCTAATATTTATAGGGGTACATGTCAAACCCTAAAAATATCACGAAGATGGAAACAAAATAAAAAATAATATGAAATAAAGGAAACGATATTTTTCTTCAATAAAAACGTGTATAATAAAAAATAAAATATTCCCCCCCCCGTCCCCCCAACCAAAAAAAGAAAAGGGAAAAAAAAAAGAAGAAGAAGCGAATCTAATTTGTGTCCCCAACAATGGTATAAATAAGCATATTTGTTTGGTCTATTAGTTGATGAGCATTGAAGGCATAATGTAGATTCATAATCAAATAGTCCTACTGATCCACCTGTTGAAAGAGTTTCTATTTCTGTAGAAGAAAACTTTGACTTATGCATTAAAAACTTGTTAATTTCATGAAGTTTCTGCCAACCCAAACAACCAACTGCATACATATTCATATCTCGGACCCTTCTAAATAAATTGTTTCGTGCTTCAGCATTTTTCCTGGGATATTTGCGATGGAAGAAGATAATATAAAGAAAAAATATTTAAAATTAGTTAATGTATTCGGCTTTGTTTAAAATGGTATACAAAATTGTTACAAATCGAGAAGCTACTATACACTGGAGAATGGTCTAAAATTAGATAGTATATTCTTGAAATTTGACTTCTAGGAAGGGAACTTAGAGGACAATTTCAAATGAAAGACTTCCAATCGCAACGTTTGACCTTAAGGGTGGTTTATAGGCCCCGATTCGAAAATAAGAGCTGGTTATGGTTATGGAATAGTTTTTTGATCGGCTTTCTTGTTCTTAACTTCTTGTAAATAACTATACGATGACTTGTTCGGAGATTAATTTTAAAGGTACGATCTTGAATGGTCTTAAGTAAAAGTTGAATTCTTTTGACATCTTTGAAAAATTGAGAATCTGATTCTTTCAGCATACTTTCTCATCTCCAAAATATGTCCCTCATCCAAATCCAGCTGTTCTAACTCAACTTCAAAACATGGATCAGCAATACTCATTTGTATGTCTTGGGAAATAATATCACGAAATTTTATTATATTATAAAACAACTATAGTTATTAAGGTCATTTCTTTCAGAAGTTGCAGAAGGAGGGAGGGGAGGCCAAAGCTATGAGGCGAAAAATATACAAGGAATTAACCAAATTGACTTGCATTCATTAATTAAAATGGGAGAATACAAATATAGACATACATACTCACTCCGAATCCCCCATAGAATACATATTAGGGGATAAACACAAGACTTTGAGTAACTTAACAAGGCAGCAAGCACAACAAGAAATCTAATATTGTATACAAGAAAACAAAAGACCAATTCCAATGTCTTCAAAGCCACAAAACAAGGCTTAGAAACCAAAATAATTTAACAATGAATATTTTCTGTAATATTTTGTTTGTCAAAGGATCACAGTCAGTAAACAAAAGCCACATTAGAAATGCCACTAGCCTCTTCAATCCAGGGAAGGTATAATCCCAATTTGCCATTCTCTGACCAATTGAATCCAACTTCAGAACCATTGAGGTAACATTTCTTAGGTGACACACTGGAATAGGCCAAGAAATTCCCTCCTCCCTTTACTTCAATTTCCACACTGCTCTTATTGTAAACCAAGCCTTGAATTGTTCCTCCACTGTTGAACATATTGGTTAGTCCAATTGGTGCAAACTTCAATGACCGGTCGAACTTCTTGATCGGGGCGAAGCTGAAAATCTCAAATGTAGATGGCAGAATAGTGATTGGAATTGCCTCTGAGTTGCTCGTTGTTACAATTAGTTTCTCCGCCTCACTGAAATATACTGCATATTCTTCTGCTTCTCCCATTTCAGTTGCATCCTTCATCTGATCCCATTCAATGTCACTCACATGAACAGAACAAGAAATTGGCTTGTAACAGTGAGAGTAGCCCTTTATCCTTTTCTCCTTGGGATCCCATCCAGCACCTTGGCAGTTGAATGCACCAACCACACCTCCACACTGTGAAATTTGAAATTGATTAAACATTATTCAAATAGAAAAAAAATAAAAATAAAAATAATATATATATATCGAAGCTAATAAAGATACCTTGTTGATGTTCCAAATTTTAAGAATGGTTTTGCTGTCAAAGAGGGGGTTCTTGAAGAGGCAATCTCTCGTTGGGAGAGCAGAAAGTATGCATTTGGGAATGGTACCATCAGGGAATACAAGTTTCTTCAACAGATCAAAATCATGACCCCCCACGGAATCACTCACATACACCGGCCCCCCACAGATAGCCCGGGATCCAGCATGAAATTTTGCACACAGATGGTCCGATTGAAACATGTCCCAATCTGGTTGTATAAACTGACCCATCCACATGCTGTTATAGGCACAATGGATCATATGGACACCTTGTAACCAATAAACTCCCATTGGATCACCATTAGGATCTTGGAACCAGAAGTCATCCCCTATTCAGAAAAGGTTAAATGCACAGGCAATATATTAATTGCCATGTTTGAAAGAGATTTCTCTAATTTTCGAAAGATTAAGACAAAAAGGAAAGGAAAGGAAAAGAAAAGAAAGAAACTTACCAACTCTTCCCATAGATATCTGCTTAGTTCCAAGTAAAAAGAAGTCGTTGCATTGCTGCATGCTGGCTATCAGTCCAGTTCCATTGAAGTTTTTGGCAAGGGACTTTGACAGCCCTTCATAATAGGCTTTTGCAAGCCCAACCCTACCTCCATAATCCTCGGATACATATTCAAGTGTCTGTATTGAAGAGGTTGATTACTTTCTTAATCTTATAAAATTAACTGTAGATACTGAAGTAACAGAAACTTACATGAATCACATCCACTTTGACACCTGTAATTCCAACTTTAGAAAGGTAAGAGTGCATCGAGTCATAGAATTTTGCGGCTTGATCGGGATGGACAAGCCCAATGGAACCCTCGACAATTTTCACCACAGCAAGATCGTCCATGGTTCCACCAAGTCCAGGGGACAATTTGCACGGAACAATCTTCGTATCAAGGTGAGTTGTTCCCGGCCTCACTCCTCCCCAAGCACCACATAACGCGTGCCAGACGTATATATCATCCAATCCTTTGAAATTAGTCCTCAAATCCCTTGTGAAAGCTTTCATTCCAAAATTTTCGGATTTGCAAGAACTATTTAGACATTCTTGGCTTGAAGTTTTTTCTTCTTCTCCACCAAACATCGCATCCAACTCCGTATACAGTTTCTCAATTTGAACATCATATTGAGACAAATCAGTGATCCCAGATTGAGATGCCTTATTGCGAGCTTTTTCAGCAAATTCAATCTCAATGGCCTTTGAAATCAACATCTTCGGCTTCTTGGGATCAAATGGAGGACTATTAAGCCCCAGCATGGATCCACTCTTGTA